CTTATCAGTAGAGGGAGCAATCAAACCTAACTAAATCCAGTGCTTCTTTCCGGATAGATTTTCTTTAGTCAAATCTGCCTCCTTGCTCTACTGACTTCTACCGAGATAGATAATGAGACCTTTGGGACTAAAGATCAATTCCGTGGCATACCCATTGCAATTACCTGATACAGCACGCATCCATCCTATTTTTCATGTCCCAATACTTAACAAATTGAGAAGGTTCACCAGATGATCAGTATGTTCCCCTGCCTTTGTTATTAGATGAACAGCAACTACTCTCTCCAGTTGCCATTTTGAAGCAGAGAGAGGTCCAAGTCCTGGGCAAATGGTGACGACAAGTGCTGGTGCAGTGGGATTCGGATGTCCCTTCATCTTGGGAATTTATTAAGCATATCAGAGAGCATTACCCCTTCTTTGACCTTGAGGACAAGGTCCTTTCTGATGGGGATAGATATGTAATGAATGGCAAAAATAATGCTGACGTGGTTGTTCAGGTTGAAAATGTGAACAAGGTGTATGGAGCAAATCAAGGTGAACGTCAACACGTGGCTTTAGATCCTGGACCAGCAGAAACAACAATTTAGTTAGTTAGAAAAGGCAAGAGAGAGAGAAAGAGCTCCTGGAAAGTGAGGGAGAACGAAGGTATATGAGCTCAGGGAAGAAAGGAACGAGGGTGTGGAATTATTGATTAGCTAATTTTCCCTTTGTATGCTATTCTTTCTTTCTCCGTGATTCTGTTCTTCCTCTGTCTGCTCTGCTCTATATTTCCTTATTTTACCACTGTCATTTTCTCTTTTGCTCAGTTCATTTTGACTTACTTGTAATTGGAATCTTCCAACATACATTCAGCCTGATGCTATCAGAAGTAATACGATACTGAGCCATGTTTATTCATTGTTTTGTTCTCACTTTTGTCGATTGCGCTGTGCTTTGTTACACATGCCCCTTTTGTGTGAAACTTCTTGTCCCATTCAATGAGTTGATAGAAGTCAGGTAAGGGGTGCATAAATGAAAGCACTGTTAATTAGCTGTGCTGACCATACAAATTTAGCTAAGAACCCATGTTTATGCAAACTTGCCATCCTCAAATGTGCTTTGAAAAACATTTGAGTTGAAATAATGTGGGGTCTAAAAGATTATCGGCTAAGACTGTTGAGTGGCATAAGAATTTCAATGTTCACAATACCTATCCAATTTATCCAATAGGAGTTGCAAACTTATTTTGTTTCCGTCTTCATGTACTAACTATTAACATCGAGCAGTAACTTAGTATTTCTCTTGTATAAAAAATATTAATTCTCCTATTATTGATAACTTTGATATAAAACTAATTTATTTACAATTTAATAAGATGTTAATTATAATCTTTGCGCAATCAGGCCTGAGGTTGACGAAGGCCATGTGGACCCAGGAATTTAAAGTAAATTTTAAATATTTATGAGTTTATGTTTTAATAGTAATTATATTAATTTCTGAAATAAATATGATAAAAAAAAAGTTGATGTAGTGGCAATTGAACATGTATTATTCCATCAGGTCTCAAGTTCAAATCTAATCAAGCCCAAGAGTTTATTTTATTTTGTTACTTTATGAAATTACCAAACTATCCTTATCACGCTCGAATTTTTTTAACTCTTCTTTCTTTCATTCTTTGATCAATTTAGAGTATAGAGAGAGAGAGAGAGAGAGAGTTATGTGCTATGGTAAGTTGGGTATGTTACGAATGAAATTATTTTATAAGAAGAAAATATAAATGGTTGCAAAGGATAACTAAGAGGTGGCATGCCTATATATATATATATATATATGTATGAGTTATATTTTTTTTAGATTTATGATATTTAAAATTTATGGTGTTATTTTTATTTGTTTATTTTGAAAACTTTTGAATATTTAATCAATGCTATTATGCACATTATTTATGAAATGTTATTTTCGACAAGTATTAAATTGAAATTTAAAATGACTCATGCAAGTTTGATATTAAGAACGTAAATTGTATTTCAGAAGTGATTATTTTTCTCTCGCATGTTTGAAATGTGATTTCTAAGAGGACTCTAAACAGAATACTATTGCTAACTACAGTTCTATTAGCTCTTGGCACACCTTGGTCAATGATTAGCTAGTTTGTTTTTGTGAGCTTTGTTCTCACAATCGTTATTCATGAGTATTGTACCTGTGTTTGATTTCATGGTTTTGAACCGCGTTTGGTTAACCTTACTCTCGTGGACTATGTATCCACATTTATTTTCATAGCTCATGCTGTGTTTGATTACTTACCTTCGTAGACTATGTGTTCATGTTTGTCTTTATGGCATAAGCCGCATTTGGTTATTTACCTTTGTGGACTGTATGTCCACATTTGTTACCTATTCTGTTGAGTTCTCACAATTCTAAATTTTGATTAACATGTATTTTCAAAATTTCAATCACTTTGGTTAGCAAGTGTGTTATTTTGATTTAAGTATGAATAATTTATTTCTTTAAGCATGATATAATAAAATGCTTCCTATTTATTCTCATTTATGATTAAAAATTTAGATTTTTTTAGTTGTGATAATGAACTATTCCCTTTTCAATTATTGAACATGATTATTTAGCATACTATTTTTACTCTTTTAAATGTTATTTATGGGGATGCTATTTACTAAAAAAATTATTTTGATCTCAGATTCACTTGTTGATGCTAATCTTATCGCTGATGTAATAACTGAATTTTTAAATCCCGTGATTAGCTTTTAATTAGGGGTAAAGTAGTTATTAGTATGGGGAATTAGAAATTTGGATGATTACTTGATAGTTTGATCCATTGGGATGTTGTATGAACAGATACGGGTGAAAAGATTGCGTTTTGAGTCAAAGCAAGTGTGCGTGGTGAGAATTTTTCTCACTGTGCCACGCACCATGGCTTATGTTTCATACACCGTGACACATGGACCAGAAAATGACCCCTTAAGTCGTGACATTTCATGAATTTCAAAAGGGAGAAAATTGAAACACACAAGAGGGAGAAGAGAAGAGTGAAGGGTGTGCTAGGGCAAACTATTTCGGACCATGAAAGGTGCTTATGATCAGTAACTTAGCTGGCAATCTATGTATAACCCTTATCTTTTATTCTACTTAAATTTCTCTGAATATGAATTATAGAGAATTTTAAGGAGTTTGATTCTTACCCAATAGTAATAAAAAGGTTCTCAAGAGTTAAATTAGAGCTTTGCAACTGATTTAGGGTTAAACAATAGAGCTTTGAACCGTAGGTTCAATTTGGCCCTAATTCATTGAGATTTTAGGGGTGAAAATCATGTTTGAGTGAAATGATACTAGTTGAGGTAATGTAAAGTGGTAATTAAGTAGTATTAGACTTAGAATGGATAAATAAAAAAGAATAGATGGCTAAATGTAGCCATAAGTAGTAATTATGTGCTTTTGGTCAAATTACACTAATTGACTAAATTATGTCAATTGTATTTAGATTGGCATATCGCTCGTGTGAGTTGAGAAATGAAGCTTGTGAAAAGCTATAGTGGTAATTGAAATTCATGGATAACCTTTCTAGTGATACAAAGGTTGAGGTAATCAAATAGCTTCTTTTGTTTGACTATTTATTATAACTGTGTGTAAGTATGCTATTTAGTGTATGAAATGGTTTTAAACTAAGCATGATTTATGGCATTTTGTGAATGATGCATGAAATGGCTTTTAATCAAATAGAAGTGTTGAAATATGCGATTTCATGTGTTATGTGTATATATATATGTGTTATATATTGGAAAACATGTAAAGTGGTGATTGAGAACTTATGAATGGTTCAGAAAGTATGATCATAGGGGTGAGAGTTCACCCATGTAGAGTGTAATGATAAGACCATATAGCATATTCTCCTTAGTGCTCAACAGGGTGCAATGTTGGAGAATTATACCTCCTTAATGCCTTTTGAGGTGCGGTGTTGGAGATGATCTCTTTAGTGCCTAACAAGGTGCGGTGTTAGAGATTTGGACTCTTTAGTGTCTGTGTGATATGGTATTGGAGTCAACAATATCTTAGTGTGTATTAGGGAAAACCATAGTCCAGAAGTGAGATAGAACACTTTTAGCCGGGTGATTCTAGCACTAAAGATGAGCTCAAGAATAATGAGATTGTATATTGGTCTAAGGCGAGTCTATGATTTCGAGTCAGAGTGATTTCGAGGTTCAGATGGTAGAGATTATGCTTATGTTAGAAAAGTGGTGAAAAGTAGTGAAAGTGGTAAAATGTGCTATACTGATGAGATTTAGAATGGAATATATGGTATGTGCTATGTTAAATGGTATATTATGCTTTACTTTCATATAGTTACATGTGATAGTCAATAGTAGTGAGTTATTTCATTATTGAGATTATTATCTCATCCTTATGGTTACATTTTTATAGGATAAAGCAGTGATCAGGGCAAAGAAAAAGAGACAGGACTAGTATAGTGGAGTTGTTGCCATGGAAAGTCTTTGAAATTGTGTAATGAACTAAAAACTTGTGTATATATATGTAAATAAGTTGCCATAGAAGACCTGTAAGGTCTCCCTTACTTAACCATGTTTAACTCCAAAGTCAAGGTAATTAAGGGATTAACTCTCAAAGGATTGCCAAACCTGAAAAGTTTCATAAAAGAGAAAATTTCTCAAGTCATTTGCAATGAAATCCTAAATTCAACATTTCAAATCTCAATCAATATTTATTATACTGAAATCTAAGTTTAGAAACCAATGCGAGAGTTTGGAAATCAAATAGAACCTAAAACAATAAGTTTTAAAACTCAAAATAGGATTTCGTGCAGAAAATGACATGTGCACCACAGCTTGTGACAAATGTGCTGTGACTCACCTTTCTTTATACCATGCGCCATGGCGCATTGCACGAATTTGACAACATCAGTTGCTGTCATTTGATAGCATAGGGAACGAACTTTCAATGTGTCCTAAATCTCCGTTTGATTGAGGTGGTTTTGATGTCTACAAGGGGCTTTCTCCTAACTCTAGCTAATGGCACTGGTTTCACACTCAAATTCTTTTTCTATAAAAAGTTGGACACCAAAACCTATATTACCACTTTTTCAAAAAATTTCACAACTTTTGTGTCCCAACTCAATCTCACGTGCCAAAAGCCTATACCAACTATCTGACCATACTCAATGAGCTCTAGCGGACCCATCCAACACACCACATACAATGAAAAACACATATATCATAAATTCACTACTCAACCCCGATTTTCACAAAAACATAAGGGGAGGAAAATTGTTGCACAAAATCATCATTTTCATTCTAAATCTTTCAAAATTCACATATTCTACTTGCACAAGTATTTTGACCCTACCTATGGGTTTATAACCAAAACTCACTAACTTAGGGCACAAAATACACAGATTATATATTATAATAATGCAAGTAGTACAAAAATAATTATATGTGATCCTAGTTGGCAAGTATACTACATTAATACACAAGTAACGTAAAGAGGCATGAAAGTAGAATTTCACCACAATCCTACAACTTAGGGTGCTTTTCCTCAACCCTATTCTGATGAGCTAAGCCCTGAAATATTGAGAATTGAGGGGTAAGTATAACCATTCAATAATCAAGTTTTACCTAATCTATATAGTTTCATATCAATTGTAAATAGATGCAAATAGGCAAACACACTATATAATACATATGAGGAACTTGGCTATGATTCACAAAACTAACAACCATGTGACCGGGTCCAAAACACATATAATCGTGTTATTTTGTAAAGCACAACACGAGGTCGCAATAATAACTATGCACCCCTAACACAAACTGGACCACAATACTAACAACCATATGGCCGGATTTATATGCATGATCAAATGCCAACCTTATATCCTCCTCTTACCTTTAACACGAAACTAGTGGCTATGATATGGCTACGTCCTTTACGAACTAACTCAGCCTTCCACTTGTGAGGAGCTACCGGGCTAGGGTTAACTCACTCACTAATGTAATCTAATTTTTCCCAGTACTGTACCCCTAACATAGCCTCTTCATGAACTGGTGTAGACTAGTTAAGTTTGAGTTCCTCGTAGAACTAGTGGGACAGTCCGGAATCAACTATAGGATATGGGCTATCAATATGAGCCGAAGGGGAGGTGAATAGGTGAAGCTCAACTTGAAGATCGAACAGTGAAGGAGGAGATCGAATTTGATGAATTGATGAAGTTAGGGCTTAGGTGATAAGGACACAACACAGGGCAAGATGGTGAGTGACTGAAATTTGAGTATGAGGGTTCTAACTTTTGATTAAAGAAAAATGACTAAAAAAAATAAGTATATATGGGTGGGTGTGGGCCACCTGAGGCCTTACCCGTCACCCACTAGTTTATAGATAAACGGGTAGCCACCCGGCCATACCCATTTTCCTCCTTTCATTTTATGGGTACGGATTAACCCCTTTAAGAATGGGTCAGGCGAGTATGGGCAGGTACACGGGTATATGGGTAAAATGCTCACCCCTACCACACAATGTTCAAAGCAGTACCCACATCACATGGTTGATAATATTAATAATTTATAACCTACCTCCATGGTTATGCCTGAAACGCAAGTTTATAATGTTGTCTATGTTAATTTCTAGGCCTAAACAACTGAAAAATGGTATAGATGGATATTTGGCTCCTTTGATAGAGGATTTGAAACTAATGTGGGATACCAACTTGGAGGTTTATGATGGGTATAGAAAAGAAAGTTTTAATTTAAAAGCCATGTTATTTAGCACAATTAATAATTTTCCTGTTTATGGCAATCTCTCAGGATATAGCATCAAAGGACATATTGCATGTCCTATATGTGAAAAGGACACTCATTCAATATGGTTAGATCATTGTAAGAAAAATGTTTACATGAGACACCGTAGATTTTTACCTTTGACACACCACTGGAGGAAATGGAGAAAAGCTTTCAATGGTGACTCTAAAGAAGGGAAACTGCCTAGGCCCTTGACAGGCATGAATATATTTGAAAAAGTGAAAGACCTTGACAACCATTTTGGCAAACTTTTTGTAAAAAAGGTTGCGATAAGTGGTTGGAAGAAGAAGTCAATTTTTTTTTGATCTACCATATTGGAAGTCCTCACATGTAAGGCATTTTTTGGATGTGATGCATATTGAAAAAAATATTTATGACAGTATGATTGGGACATTGCTCCAGTTTTCAGGAAAAAGTAAAGATAGTGTGAAGTTAAGGTTGAATTTGGTCTCTATAGGAATAAGAGAAGAGTTGGGTCTAATGGAGAAAGGAAATCATACTTATCTACCACCAGCAGCTTACACTTTATCCATGCATGAGAAAAAATCTTTTCTTGAGTTTCTTCATAGTGTTAAAGTGCCAGAGAGATATTTTTCAAATGTGAATAACCTTGTATCGATGAAAGATTTGAAGTTACAAGGTCTTAAATCTTATGATTACCACATACTCATTCAAAATTTCTTACCCATTGGTATTTAATCAATTTTGCCTAAGAAAGTATGATGCACCATCACAAATTTATGCTTGTTTTTCAAGATGATTTATAGTAAAGTGGTTGATCCTATAAATTTGCCAGCCCTACAAAGGCAAATTATTTTGATCTTATGTGAACTTGAAATTTATTTCCCACCTTTATTCTTTGATATCATGGTTCATCTGATAATTCACTTGGTTAAAGAAGTTCAAATGTGTGGCCCAACTTATTTATGATAGATGTACCCAATTGAGTATTACATGAAAATTTTAAAAGGTTATGTGAAAAATAGATATCAACTTGAGGGTTATATTGTTGAACGATACATAGTCAAAGAAGCAACTGAATTGTGTACAGATTATTTATCCAACGTTGATGTTATAGGAATTCCAAAGTTTTGCCATGATGGATGAAGATCAGGGAAAGAAATAATTGGAAATAAAGTTATTAGCATTTCAGCAATTGAATGTGAACACCTTCACCTATATGTTTTGCATAATATTGAAGAAGTGAAGCCATTTGTGGAAGAACACAAAGATATTCTGAAAGACATGTTTGGTGTTAAAAATGAGAATTTTGGAATAAAAGAACACAATTGATGCTTTGTAAGGTGGTTTAAAAGTCGCATCCTTGAGGAGTCATAGAAGTATCTAGGTAATGTTTCTAAAAAATTGAGATGGCTAACTAAAGGATAGAGTTTACAAGTTTTATCTTACACTAGTTAAGTCATCAATGGTTACACTTTCTATACCAAAGAACAAGATGATTAAAGTACAGTGCATCATCATGGAGTAACGCTCATTGCCAATGGTTTACATGTATCCAGTTCAAAAGATACTAATCTTGTTTATGCAGAAATGTCATACTTTAGTGTCATTGAACATATATGGCAGTTGGATTACTCTATGCTTAGGATGCCTGTCTTTAGATGTAGGTGATTTAACAGTTATAGTGAATTTTGGATTTAGTTAAGTGGATCTATTTAAAGTTGGGTATAGAGATAACCCTTTTATTTTAGTTGAACAAGCTCAACAAGTGAAAGAATTGGTCTATTGTACTTTTATCAAACAAAAAACATGAAGATGATGATCAAGCTTAAGGTCATAAAGATATGAATCTTAAAGCGTCAGCTTTTCATGGGACAATACAATCTTTTGATTATGATTTAATTGAAGAGAAGCACTTGTACATGAGAGATAATCATAAGATAAGATATGGGTCAACCTATCAAGTCTAAATCAAACAAAGAAAAAACAAAAAAGTAATTTGATTTCTCATGTTACTTGGTTTAATTTTTTTCATTTTTCTTATTATGCATGTTTTGATGTATTGATTTCAACTTGCAAGAAAATGAGTTCCCATAGCGATGATAAGCCTCACGCTAGTTCAAATGACGATGATCCTCAAGTAATAAAGGAGAAAATGTTTCGAGATGTTCATCATGGTAAAACCGTGATGGCCAAGTTAATTAGAAATAGAAGCATGGGAATAAAGCTATAAGTTGGTTGAAATATTAAGGGTCAGCCAATAAAACCAAATGGAGAAAAACTAATTAGTTATATTGGGATTGTGGGTTGAGACTATGTGCCTATTACATTTACTAATTGGAGAAAAGTGCCAAATGAGCACAAGAGTTCATATGGGAACAAGTTATAAAAATTCATTAATATTTGATCTTTTTGACTATTTTTTTCTTCACTTATTGCAATCTAAATTATTTCCTTTCTTAAAATCTTGACGAGACTCATAGAACATATGTCCTCAAAAAAGCCAGAGTTGTTCTTAGAAAATTTCATATAGATCTTTGCAAGTGGTATTTAATAGATGATAATAAAAATATCGTTGAACACCCACCGGAGCTTTATGATGGGATCATATCTCAAAAAGAATGGGATCAAATTGTTCTAGCACACACAACGAAAGAATTTAAGGTAAATAATTCTGGGTTTTGTCAATTAAATATAATTTTACTTATATAAAATTAATATGAATTCAATTTGCATTTCAATAGGTGAAAAGAAAGTGATATCATCAACTAGCTGAAAGTCAAAAATATCGCTTCGGAAGGGGAAGAAAAGGATACGCATTCATCGAACAAGATAAAGTACATGTTTTATATTCAATAATTATTACATTCAACTATTACACTTGTTTGAGTGATTTATAAATTCAATTAATTGTTTTTTAATATGTAGATAAAAAAGGACAATTTAAATTGTGAACAACTTACATGTCATGAAGTGTGGGTCAAAGGATGATTAAACTCAAAAGGTGAAATTAAAGATGAAGATATGAGGCAAGTTTAGTAAACTTATATACGTATTAGTATTTAGTTCACATTTAAAATTTTATTTTCGTGATTTCATTTTATAAATAATTTGTTATGATTCATATATAACAGCAAACTTTGTCATAAGAAAGGCCTAAAGAAGCACAACAATTTTGTCATGAAGACATCCTTAGCAGAGCATTAAATGCTCCAAAAGTCCCTGGTTATGTCGGAGGGGTTGGTTTTGATATTACCCAAACCACTTATTTCAGGGGTCAAAGATGCTTAAACAAGAGTGTCATTGCCAAATTGAAAGAGAAAACGAATGTATTTCAGCAACAGATATTGAAACAAAATATGCGCAAGCAACATTATCAAGAACAATATCATCAGTTACAAGAACAAAATAAAAAATTATTTGAGCAAATGAATGTTATGATGTAGCAAGGCTTGATGAGGGTTCCAATAGTTGAAAGCCCTAGTTTGAGAAATAGTTGCACTTCCATGTCAAACCATCCCACTCTCCCTCTGGTAATACTTTTTCTAAATAACTTTTAAGGTTATTATCATTTTTACAATATAAATCGCTAGATATCTTATTTGTTTTAGGGAGAATCAAAATGCAAATTGCACACAAAAATTCTCTTAAAAAATGTAGTTGCTGTGGGTACTGTTTATAATTTCGTTGAAGATACTTTACATACAATTCCATTACACCCTGATACATTGTGAGTTTCTATAGACATTTACATTAATGATGATGCCAAGTTACCAATACCTCTTAATGAGGATATTGTATTGGTTAAA